TGGCAGTTTACCTGGAGCATCGGCACAAGTAGCAGAACTACAGGCATTAGTTGCAGCATGTGAAGCTGCGGACGGTCATGCTGTAAACATATATACTGATTCTAGATACGCGTTTGGGGTTGTACATGATTATATTAACTGGTGGGTAAATCAGGGATTCCTGACAAGTACAAGATCCCCAATACAAAATGGGGGGATAGTGGAGAAACTTCATGCAGCCATGCAGAAACCTACCGAAGTAGCAATGATAAAAGTGAAGGCCCACACAAAAGGGACAGACCCTCATAGCAAAGGGAACCGAAGGGCAGACAAGCTAGCTAAACAAGCAGCAGTGGAAGGTAAAGAGACGCAATGATTGCTGCAACACAGCCTCTCATAAAAACCCCAAACTTTTTTGAATTACAGGACATTCAACACGCTGCACCAAGGGCAGAGAAGTGGTTATGGATGGATAATGGGGGCAAACTGTGTGATGATAACACTTGGAGAGTGTTTAGTGTTACCAAATGTGCTGATGGGAACTATGATACAAGTGTATCACATGTTGGGACATGATGGAGCATGATTATGTGAGGAGGTGTGTAACGTGTGCTCAATTTAATTCTGCTCCCACAGTGAAAATGAGAATGCGACATCAGCCAAGACCAACACAGCCCTTCACGCAGTTACAAATAGATTTCATTGGGCCCCTGCCAAGGTGCAGAGGGAAAGAATATGTTCTGGTGATCTTGGATCACTTTACTAAGTGGGTAGAAGCTTTCCCAGTGGCCAAGGCCACTGCGTCTAATGTAGCTAAAATACTGATGACCGAAATAATTCCCCGATGGGGACTTCCATGCTTCATTGATAGTGACCAAGGTACCCATTTTACAGGGAAAGACAGGGTCACCAACCTACAAGTGGTTCTCATGTCTATGAGAGCCAGTCCTACTAATCCACATTCCTTATCTCCTTTTGAAATCCTGACAGGACGGGCGATGAGGACGCCAGGAAATCTGTGCATTGGGGGCGGGGGAAATTGTATGTCATGGGTGACCAGCTTGCTGAATATTGCAAATTGTTATCTCTGTGTGTCTCACAGGACCCCGCAACTGAACCAGACCCAAAGGCTGGCAAAGAGGACACGTGTGAGGTGCAGCCCGGTGATCAGGTGATGGTGAAAGCCTATAGAAAACGAATCTTTGAACCAGCCTGGACTGGTCCTCACTCGGTTCTCTTGGTAACGCCTTCAGCAGCCCGGGTCACCGGAATTCCAATTTGAGTGCACCTGTCACGAGTAAAAGTATACAAGGGTGAGACTCAACATGGGGCACAATAATCCCTGTTTACTCTGTGTACTCCTGGGAAGGCATTCTTAATATTGTTAAGTGTTTTCATTTAATATTCTCAGTTTAAAATTGATGTAGGAATTTTTTGTGGTCTACTAATTGTTTTGAGTCGTTTCTGAAACTTGAAAGTTTTTTTAGAGGTCTCATCTTAATAATGCTGCAGTGGCTTTCAGTGTTTTATTGATGTAATCACCTGGGAAGGAGCCACTGGATCAGTTGTAAATGCCATTACTCAAGCTATCAAATCCAATAATAGGGACTGGGTTAAAAAATTGTTAGTAGCAGGAATGACAGTTTATTGTGGTGAGAGTAGGGCTCATGTCTGATCAACTTAGATATTACCTTAACTCAACAACACAGTTGGTCAGGTCCTAACTGTTGTATTCAGCCATCTATTAAATACTACCAAAATGCATGAGCAAGCATTGGTCTAGGCGTGTGGAAGAATTGTGTTATCATCCTGGCATGGTGTTCAACATGAAAGTTGCAGTCCTGATAGGAGACTCACTCGTGTCACAGGTGCCATGTTGGGTGAGAGCTGCAGTTCTCAAAGACTGAATGTCTTCACCTTCGATGGTGGCAGGGGAGTGGTCCCTATCAATAACAGGGGCATGTTGGGATGGTCATTCCATCCTTGAAGGGGTGTTAATTCCTGTGGGTTGGGCTCCTGAATTGGAGGTTCAGCCTGTCCACCCACTCCCATTCTCACGTCACAGACATCTGTTTAGAATAAGGGCCGGAGATAACTATATAGCTTTCCCATGGGACCAATGTAAATCCCAACAGGAGGGAAAAGGAACAGGACAGCAATGGACTGAAGGAAAGAATGCAGGGGCTAGGATGGTTAAGAGGATTGGGATACTGGGGTAGATGGATAGAGCAGACAGGACACATACAGAAAGGGGTGTTGAGTATAGAAAGGTAAAATGAAGGTGAGGAGTGAAATAATGAAGGATTTTATCAATTTAGCCTTTGAAGTAAGCAAATTCCTGTATGGAGAGGTATATGGCATAGAGAGAGGAGTGTTTAAAGGACAGAGTCAAAGACTGCATATAAGCAAAAGGGATTGTGAAATGCATTACTGTTTGACCAGAAAGATGGCAGAGCTGAAGAAGAAAGAAACATTGCAATGAAATAAGAAACAGGAGCAGAGGAAACAAATGGTGGAAGAGCGAAGTCAATGCTGGAGGGAGACCATGGACATCTTGAAAGGGACAGAGGTCACATCAGGCGCAGGTGGAGCCTGAGGAGCAGGGGGCAAGTGGTCTATGTTAAAAGAGATGAAGTGGCAATCAGAAAGAGGGAACTTAGATAATCCGAGCTCTGAGATGAAGAGATAGCTGGTGAAGTCAGTGTCAAGTGATCAGCTTTTCTACTGAATGGATGATCTGATCCACAGCTGAAGATCAAATGAGTGAAGGCAAGGAGTTGTGTAGTTAATGAATCCAATGAGACATCAACACAGAAATTGAAGTCACCAAGAATAAGTGTGGGAGGTTGTGATGAGAGGAAAAAGGAGTCACATGTCAAATCTGAGAGAAAGCTGGCTGGGGAAGAGTCAAGGGGCAGTAGATGACAGCAACATGGAGTAGGAAGAGAGTCTGGTGGAGCTTTGCTCAAACACGGAGATGGAGTGGAAAGGCAGGAATGATTTATAGAAGCAGCAGGAAAGGGAAAAGAGGAACCCAAGACCCTCACTAAGTAATGAGGCAGGGTGGTACAGACAGAGACACCACTAAATTTGTCGTATCGTACCCAAGAACCAACAAACAGCTGCTAAAATATTCAGACACTTTCTTTTGGATTATCTGAAGAGATCCACCAGGACCCTGGTTAAGGAATTTGAGAGTCAACCGTTCTTGAGATTTTATGAATATAAAAGGACACACAAAGCTCATTTACCACACAACTTGCCAGTCATAAGGAAACCCAGTTGAAAGATTCAACAGAATAGTATTAATAGTCTCCTGAACCCTGACTGACAAATACAAGTCCACCTGGAAAATTTAAACCAAGCAGTGCAAACCTATAACTGTACCAAGCATGAAACAATTAGTTATTCTCTACTTCTCCTGCTTTATGAAAGGTCTCCAAGGTTATACATAGATAACCTTTTTGATTTTGAACAGAACAAAGGGGGCAATAACGATGCCAGGTACACAGACTGATAAAGAAAAATGCTAAAGAGAGCCTGTGAAATAGTTATTTATGAAAGCAGTTTGGAAAAGGGGAAGCCTAGTGCAACTGGAAAGCTCCGAGCAGTGTTTGTAGAGTCCTAGTAAGAAAGCTGTCTGAATGTGGCAGGACACGAACACTCAGTTCACACCATTGATGAGTCATTAGGGACAGAAGAAATGGATATTCAGGCACACACACCATCCCCTGTTGTGACTGTCAACTCCAGACAGATGAAATCACCAAAAGAAATTTACATTTATGACTTACAGTACTTGAGAGCCACCCACATTATCAGTCACGTTGCCTTCAAACAGGGGCAGTAGCTGTAAAACCCTGCAATCAATGACCTAACCTCTAGCAGGTCAGATTTCTGCCTGCTGATGGGAAATACCAAAAGCATAGGAAGGCTAGAGTTATTAGCACTTTAACTAAAGTATATCGCTTGCCCCATGAAATCATGATTTTAAAATCTATTAATTTAATGTAGTTTTAAAGAGGGAAGTGATGCAGGGCTGTGGAAAAGTAAAGCTATAGTTTGGTACCAGTGTTTATGTAGGACATAGCAACATTTTTATCCTAGAAACATGTTATTACGCTGCGCATTGTGCTCCAAGGGAATGTTAAAATGGGAGACGGAGCTGCAAACTGGAGCATTGGGTGGAGCTGTTCATGGTGGCTCCCACCTAGGAGACTGGCAGCACCACTGCAGGGAGGAAGAAAGAGCAGACCGGGGCAGTGTGGGGAAAGGAGCTACAGGGATTAGTGAGGCCATGGGGAAAGGACCTGGCCCTGCAGCCTGACTGGAGCCCTTCCCCTGGCTGCTGGGGAACCTGATGGCTGGCCAGGCCCAGTGCAGAGTGGGGCCAGGGGTCAGGGTGGCTCTGCACAGAGGGGAGCCCTGCCCTAGGAAGCGAAAGAGGAGAAGTTATTGTGAACTGATTGCTCTACTCCCAAGGTGATGAAGTTGTGTCCCCGAATCCCTGCCTTCCTCCCAGCCAGGGGGCGAGCGGGCAAGGTGTGAAGAAGGGCACCAGGGAGATGAGGCACCATGGGGAAGGGGGGAGCTGCAGGGGGGGGAGCGCTAGGTCCCAGTGGGTGAGGAGATGGGGGGCACCGTGTGAAGGAGGGTCCCCTGGCTCCCCGAGAGGAGAGTGACTAGGGGGCAATCCGGGAGGGGGCGCCCCGCAACCCCTGGGGGGAAGGGTGGGGGAGCACCTTGCAAGGGGGGCATGTGGGAAGGTGGTGTCCCCCCGGGTCCCTGTACGGGGGAGGGCCGGGTCCCCGCGGGGTGAGGGGGCGCGGGACGGGGGCCGGGTCCCCGCGGGGAGAGGGGACGCGGGACCGGGGCCGGGTCCCCGCGGGGAGAGGGGGCGCGGGACGGGTCCCCGCAGGGTGAGGGGGCGCGGGACGGGTCCCCCCGGGGAGAGGGGACGGGGGCCGGGTCCCCCCGGGGGTGCTGTCGGGGGTCCCTGCACGGGGGCGGGTCCCGCTCACGTGTGAGGCCGAGCTGCAGCATCCCATGGCGGGCGCGGGTCTCTGTCCCGGGGGAGCCGGGCCGGGGGTCCCCGCTAGGCACCGGGCATCCAACCGCCGCGATCACCCGCCCCAGGGCCGTGGGGCGCCGCTCCGGCCTCGCCCAGCTCCTCCGCGCGGGCGGGCGCGTCGGTCGGTCAGTGGAGCTCGGCTGCGGCTCGAGTCCCTCGGCAGCGCCGCCCCGCGCTCCTCATCCTCCCCCGGCGGCGGCGCGACGCGGCGGCGGCAGCTCAGTAGAAAGGGGCGGGGCCTGGTCCGCTCACCAACCCGCCGGCCGCGCCGAGACCGCCAAGTGCGGCGGGCGCCGAGTGCCGGCTCCGCGCGCCCGCCCGGGCCGGGATTGGTGGCGCGCCGCAGCCATTTCCGCCCTCCGCGAGGGAGATAGAGCGTATGCACCGCGGTCCGCCGCAGAAAGGGCTCGGCCCACTTCCGGCCCGAGAGGCGGCTCTACTCTTGCCTCCTCGCCACCCAGCCAGGTGTCCGTGTCCTTCCCTGGGGCAGCCTTGCGCGTGGCTGGCTGTGGCTCCCCCTGCACAGATGCCCGTCTGTTTGCCCCACCCTCAGTGTATGGAGGGTGACCCAATGGCCCCAGTTGATACGGACAGTCCTGATTTTTGGGTCTTTTTCTTATATAGGCGCCGATTACCCTCCACAACCCCATCCCGATTTTTCACATTTGCTGTCTGATCACCCTAAGTGTAGGTCTGTCTCTACACCTGCCTGTGTCTGCGACACGTTTGTGCCTCCCCTCTGCTTTGCTCCCCCATCCTGCATCTGCCTGTCTCTCCAGTCTATGCCTAGCTTGGGTGTCTACATGACTCCCCCACACCCCATTGTCAGTATTGCCAGCCCCACCTCTTCAAAAAAATCACGAGTCAGGCCCCCAAGTGTCCCAAGATGCACTTTGAAATGATGACTTTTTAAAAATAACAAATGTTATTAAGCAATTACCTCCTGGCAACTAAAGCACTGGAGTGCACTTGCTTCGTATTGTCCAGCTTTTTGACTAGAAACTTTTGTTTTTAAATGACAGCTGAGATTCTTGGGTAGATCACTTGACTTCAGTATAGGAGAGACCCTGGAAAATCAGCCATCCAAAAGTTTTTATAAAATTGCAAGAGTTGCCAACACTGCCTTGTGAGGAAGATATACAGGGCCTGATCGCCCAAGGTGCTGGGCACCTCGGATCCTATTCACTTCAGCTCAAGTGCACATCCTCTCTGAACTGCAGGTCCATAGTGTATTTTTTGAGGAAACATACTAAACATGTATAGGTTTGGAAGGATTAGATTTTTATCACCATCACTCTACAGGCACAGACTGATGAAAAAAATAATTCCATCGATAATCGAAGTTTACAGATAAGCAAAGAAAGAAAAAAGAACCATACTTTGTATATTTTGACATGTGATGTTGACAAGTTGTGTTGTAACTGTTATAAAGCTTTCTTTTTGAATCAACATCTACTTCATTAAATAATTATCCTAACCTCCCCTGGTCTGATCCATCCAGCCCATAATTTCATGCAACTGTGAAAATTTATATATAAATAAAAAAAAGTGCTTAAAACAAGTGTTATCCATGAAAATTACATGAACAAATAAAAAATCAAGTTCTGCCAAGCCTCACTATGTGTTCCCTCCTGATCCCATTATTCCAATCTAGTCTCTCCTCTGTAACTGAGATAAAATGTGACTGGATATTCTCCTTGTTAATACAGCTCCTGTCTGGGTGATGCTGATTTCAGAAAAGAAAAAGTTAGTTTTCCCATAAGGTTCTCCTGGAGAGATTTTCCTCAGACCACCTACTAAAGGCATCTACTCTCAACCACACTCTTCACTGGAACAAAACTGCATTCTGTGGGTGTTTTGAAAACTATATCCAGATGTGCATGCATGCATGCATACCCTGGCTCCTGCAGGTTCATCACATGAAGAGATCCCTATAGCTGCACAGAGCCCCTTAGAGTCAGTGAGACCTAAATGAATGTACCACCAACTGTGACTCTATCCTCCTAGCGCTACATAGTCTCTGCAGCTGGTGCAATCTGCAGTTGCTGGCTGTGCTGAAGTGGCTCTTCTAATGACAGTTACTCAAGGGGCACTGTTTGAGCTGCAGTGCCAATTCAGGCTAGCTGGGGAACAGACAGACCAGCCTCAATTTGCTAGTGAGACAAGGTCAGAGCAGACAGCAAAATATAAGATGAAGGATTTAAAACCAAAAGTTAAGCTGGATGCTGGGAAAAATATGGATTTCTGGTAATTGTTTAACACGATCAGTGAAAGTAATTGAGACAGAATAAAGCATCGGGGTATGTAGAATATACTAAAGAACAACAGCAGGGGGAAGGGTTTATAGCCTTTACATTTCCCCCCCCCCCCCCCCCACACACACCCCCCCACACCCCTAATATATGTACCTGAAAGTCCAAGGATATGGGGGCACAGCTGAGAAAACACTTTTCTTCCACCCAGAAGATCACTGAGGATATTGCTGGCCCCCTTGGCATAGTTTATTTGGGCATATAGCCCCACTTCCACAAGCTGTGTAGACCAGGGATAGCATCACACTTTAGAGGTGTGTGTGTGTGTGTGTGTGTGTGTGTGTGTGTGTGTGTGTGTGTGTGTGTGTGTGTGTGTTTTAATTCAAGGCAAGAAGAATTCAGTTATCACCCTTTCCCTGGGGCCTTTCCCAGAGTAACTGCATCCGTGCCAGGAAGCCATGTGGGTTCTGAGAGAAGCTATGTCTACACTAGAGACCTGAGCCACTAGGATTGCAGCAATGTACGTTTCAGCATAACCATCTTTGACCCCCTCCACAGTCATTGCAAGGAATCCCCTCTGAGGTCTCAGGCCTCTAGCCATCCCTCTACTTCCTGAGCAGAGATTTAGGCTATGGCTCCACTGCATCCCACTGTGATTACCCCATGCAGATCTGACTAGAGTGAAATGACAGGGGCTGAACGCTTTCTCCAGGGACAATGACAGTGGTTTACCAGTGACTGCACAGCTCTTCCAAAGCAGGGTACATATATTTAAGGAACAAAAGCACCCAGAAAAAAATATTTAAAAAACAAACAAAAAAAAACAGTACAATGGTCTAAACAGCCACTAAATGTACCAGAAGTCATCCATCCATCCTATGGGGACCCTGATAGGTTCCAGTCTTTCCAACTCCTCACCAGGGTGGGGTCCTCCCTTAGGCAAAACATCGTGTCCATTTGTTAAATCAAAAAGAAGGCCCCTCTGTCATATCAAGCAGGCTCTTTTTACCTCGTGTTTGTTCTTGGTCTCCAGCATCTCTTGAAAACCTGGCATGAACTATATGCAAACTACACCAGGGGAGACACTTCTCTGGAGCGGTTTGCACTCCCAAGGACTGCAGTAATTAGCCACCACTGTTTTCAGTTCCTGAAGGAGCGGTGATAACCCCCACCTCCCCCCTTGGAGTAGAATGCAATCCTTAGCCCACAATAATTCATTAACATTCATAAAATTAAATACAGTATGTTGTTCGATGTTCAGCTGCATGTGTGTGTTCTCCCCCAGCTCTGTGCAGATAGTTGGAACAGCAGACCTTGAGCGAACCGCCCAATGACCACAAGATCTGTTAAGGTACGAAGGCACCAGGCCAGGTACTCCCTCTAAAATACATCTTTATACCCTAATACAAACAAGTTATGTACTGCCTCTGACATAGTTACTGCCCCCTGACGTGGCTAGTTATCACCCATCGTATTGATTCAATCAAAACATTTCTATTACATACTGTCATCCTGACCTTATCTTTTAAAAGGGATCAGTGTGTTCCAGTTATCCTTGGGAAATGTTTTTGTATCATCCTGGATATCTGGATGTTCTGGTACCACTTGTTATCGAAATGTATTTGAGTAAGTACTCTGTGCTTAGCACTTCTTAAAAATAATGTATTTCTGCAATATTAGCCCTGTTCTTGCCAGATTATGTAAGCAGGTCCTGCCTCATACCAGGCCTTTAATACAAGGGCTTATGTCTCAGGCTCTCTTCCTACTACACAATAGTCTTAAGATTTACTTGTATTGGTCACATCTGTCACAGTAAGTACCCACAATGTGGTGAATCCAGTTTTGCCCCGTGTCCATACCAACTCTGTCATACGCTATTGTAGTTGCACCATACGTTAGATATTCATCCAGCACAGCTCCCTGAAACACTGGCTTCTGGGAGCCCAATGGGATTGTGGGAGAAAAGAGGTCAAACTGCCATAAGTGCCTGTGCACCAATGCCATTTCAAATACCTCTAAATGGAGGCAAGGATGAACATTTGGGCCTTTGCTCATCAAGGAAGATTCATGGAGCTTTTGAAAAAACAGGTCTGAGGTGTCTATGGTGAAGTGGGAAGAGGGTTTTCTGGCAGGACCCATGAAGAGCCAGTAACTGAGGCCAGCACTTGATGGAGCTTGCCACAGTCTGGTGTGGCAATTCCTATGTTTACATGCAGCCCTGCCCCTGTGTTATGATCTTGGAAACCTTATAAATTCTGATAAATATTATGAAGCTGTCACTGTAAAAACTGCTGTATCACGAATGCCTACTGTCTACATACAGTCACTAAAGGCTTGTCACCAATGACCATGTAGCTTTCACACCAGCTACAATGGTGGGTCGTTAGAACTCAACACCCACCTATTCAGAGTGAAATTCCTTGGCCCAATGGGTTTGCTGAAGCGGGAAGAAGATTCCTCCCTCCTTCCCTTCAGACCAGAGGAGGAAGTAAGGGAGAGAGTGGAAATTCCCCAAGAAGGACCAAGGGACAGAAGTGATAAGGCAAGATTATAAAATGACTCACAGGGGGAAGGTGCAGAGAACCACACCAGACATTTGAGCAGGAGAAGGGAAGGGGAGGACTGGCCAAGGCCAGAGCAGACAAGGTGGGGGAGAAGGCCCCGTGTTTTAGAACCCAAGCCATGCACTGAAATGGAAGGACCCTGGATGGCCCCAGAGGACCCTGACTTCTGTCAGCCAAAGTATGCATTGAAGTGGTGAGGAAACTGAGGCAGGGAAACGCCTGTAGGGTTTATGATTTTTGTATAGTTCTCTATATTTCTTGTGCTAGTAAAGCAAGAGCAGTTTGCATTAAATCCTGTGCATTTTATGTTGCTCCTACCATGGAGCCCCTTGAAGAGATAAACCAGAAGG